ATTTTTATTAAGAAAGTATAATCTTAGAATAGAAAGCATTATCTGAATACAAAATTTCATCAGAATCCTTGGAGCTGTTTCCGAGAAACCTATGGATATATCTATATATATATATATATATATATAAAAGAATTGCTCATTTGAAGTAATAAGATAACCTGAGTCTAGTTTATCTTAGTTTGAATTTTATTGTATACATACTTATTCACTTACTAGTTTTAGAAACTGATTTATTTTGGATTATGTAGAAATGCTTAAGCTAATTATAATAGCCCAATAAGCTTTTTTTGACTTTCCAAAAAAAAAAATATTAAACGCAAGATCCTGCAGGAATGTGCTGGATTTATTAGCGACGGCGATGAATGCTTCGCTCACTTGGCATGCTTTAGAACAATATTGTGAGATGTTGCAGCGTATTGGTCCAAAATCGGGATAAACTTATTAAAATCTGTTGCCGATCCCAGCGAGTGGCTACGCGATTAATCGATTTGATGCTTCATGGCTTGTAAGTTGTTTCGCATGCCAACTGGCATATTTGCATGTATAATCGTGAAAGGTTTATGCTTTCTTCTCAATTCTCTTTCGCTTGTTGCTCCCTGAAGATGTGATTCTGTAATTGAAGAAATAAGAAACATTATGCACCAATTGATTTTTAGCGGTTCAGGATAGATTAGATGAGGTGGTGAACTTAAAGGCCCCAAGAGAAAGTAAACTGAATTTCATATGACCATTTTAAAATCAAATACTGTATAGATAAAACTGATATACATGGAGACACATCTTGGGACGATACTGGAGTACATCTTTTGAAATCCCAGCCACTTGCAAGAGTAAAAGGCAACTTTTGCTTTCTTAACTCTTTCGTCTATATTTATTTCCCAACTCATCTTAGGATCCAATATGACACACAGATACTTCTCTCACTTAGGTTGTCGTAGGATTACGCTATTGGCAACTTTATTCTTCTCCGTAAAGAGCATAATTTCTGTTTTTCTGGGTTCACTCTTCAACTACATTACTCAGTCCATCGATCTAGCTTTCCTAGAGATCCTTGCATGATGTTGCTCACAACAGATGCAAATAACATGATTACTAAATTGGCACATTTTAGGCGAAGACCACTACTTTCACTGCCCCCTATTTGAGCTTGAGTAGTACTTAATTGATAGTTGTAAGCAAAAAAAATTATGTTGAATCGGTCGTCGTCAGTAACCTTTCGATATAAGCCTTCTAAATCAAGGCGAATTAAACAAGAGATACCAAAGGGTGGTTGCCCATCCTATTATTTAACTTCTAGATCTCGAAGTTTCGCAGCAAAGGGGGCAGTTTCACTAATCTCATACGCTGACGACTATTTGATATTTACGTCCGCAAATTGAATTAATTACCTCTGCTCTAAAGTAAACGACTACCTCTCCGAACTTTCTCCCTTCTTCCCTGCACGGACCTATCCCCCTACCCGACGAAATCAACGGCGAACCTTCTCTCCATCTCAACGAAAAAGGGCAGGCTTCACCTACGCATTCGCGTCGTTGGCACAATAAGGTCCTCAGGTCGCTCGCCGGCAGCACCTGTGGCAAAAGGGACCTTATTGGTAACATACTAGGCAATAACCGTCCGGTTCTAAATTTAGCTGCTCCTGTTTGGTTGCCGGGGACTATTTGATGCAGTGAGCAAAGCCACTGGTTGAAATGCTGCATCCCGTAAAGCGAAGTCATGCCTTCTTATGTCGCCTGAGCATTATCTGTATAGCGACGCCCAAATGCTCCCTCTTAGGGAGCACAACAAAATGCTTAGCAGGAAGATTTTAGTAAGGTGCGATCAGCTGTCCAGACTCGATCCCGACATACCAAATGAGTGTCCAGCATGTGGAGATTCCTCCCACGTCATCAACCACCTCTTAATCCCCTGCGAATATTTTCTATTCCCAAAAAGCTCGGTGGTAAGCTATTCGGGTCGACTGAGGATCTGAAGAAACTCTTTTATTCGGAAGGAATAAGAAAATTGGACAAACGCTGGGCTAAATGTATAAATGAAAAATTAAAAGGTGACTATATCGAGAAATAAAAGGCGCTCAAAATGTTTAATTCAAATGTCACTGAACTATCAAACTTTGCCTGTAGTATAGGTGAACATCTAAATATTTGTATACGTCGAAGGTTTCATTTCCTTTTGCTATTTATTACGGCGAATTTCATGAGTAAAATTTGAATGAGCGTTTTAAATACTTTTGATTACAGTGACCCTCAACTCGTTATATTGCATCTTTTATTATTATTTTTCGGCAGCTTTTAAGCGTGGTTGTGACTCAAGCGGTTATGTACCCGCCAACCTCGTTGCGAGAGCCGTTTCCCACACATTTCTTCGATGCCATGCATACAACAAGTAGTCGGTAACGTCAGTAACTATGTTTAACCGGAGATTAGTATTAACCAGACATTTAGTACCCGGCCCTTAGTCTGCATTTGTTGATAACCAGACGTTGTGGATCCGGCCCTAAGTGGCTCAATGCTTTTACCGTTTATAGTCATGCGACTATGTTGCGCTTATCTATTCATCGATTTTCTTCATTCATCTCTTAGTACCAGGTTGGCCGAGCTTAGCTCTAAGTGCATGATTTTGTTTAAGCTTTCAAGCTTTGGGTATCGAATAGGATTAGCTTTTAAAAAGCTTTTAAAAAGAATAAAAGAATGAAGAATAAAAGAATAAAGAAGAAAAGAAAGAAAGCTTTTAAAACGAATATTTTGAAAACAAAATTTTGGTTTTTAATATCTTATGAAAAAAGTAAATTTCTTACTAAAAATAAACTGGGCTGAAGAGTACATATGCTTATTGATATTAGCAAAATATATTTTTGTATTAAAAATACATGCGATCCTCATCGAAAATATCTTCGGACTAATGCTCTAAAAAATACCTTTCATTTTATATCCATATTTCGTTGTTTTAGTTAAATTTTGCAGAATCGAATATAAGTGGCAACATTTCTCTAATATCCTAAGGCATAACAATTGATATACTTATAAGCAAATCATTGCTTAAAAGCCTTCTTTTGGTATTCATGAATAATAATATTGTACCTTTATTTTATAAACAAAATATTAAATAAATGTGGGGTTCAAAATAGGTGGCAAACTTATTCAAAAATATGTTTGAAATACCTTTCATTTATTACCCATATTATGATGTTTCCTTTAATTTCCAACTAATTTCGAATATGTTAGAACCTTTAACGAGTATTATCGGAGGTAATACCTCTGTAGATAATCTTATAATGCAAAAGACTATCTACAAAATTTTAGTTAGAGCCGTTTCCGAGAAACCTGTGAATATAGGCTGCACCTTAAATGTAGGAAGCAAATTTTTACAACGGATTTCCTAAGTCTCAACCCCTACGTCGATGCTACTATAGTCGAAGATATCATATGCAAATTTTGTTCCCGATTGGAGGTGTGTCGCATAGGGGCCAAAGTTCAGATTCCTCAATGGAGACTAACAAACATAATTTTT